AGTGAGGTGGTCTCCCAGTCTAGCGCACCTCGCGCCCGGCGGGCGGCGACCTGTCCGTCCACCGACCCCTCCGCCCGCGCGTGCCAACGCCGCCTCCACCGCCGAGTCGAAGAGCCGATGTAGACCCGTCGTCCGTCCACCGTGTGGTACGCCGCGAAGCGGCCCGACGCCCAGGGAAGTCGGCAGCCGCGCGAGCCCGACGCCTGCTCCTGCTTGCGCACGCCTGCGTAGCCGGTGCTGCTGCGACTCGAGAGGTGCAGCCGCCAGCCCTGCGCCTCTGTCACCACCGCCGGCGCCTCCCCCGCGGGGCCCATGTGGGATGGACCTGCGAAAGCGCGGGGAAGGGAGAGTGCATTCAGAAGGCAGAACCTGAGCACAAGTGGGGGGCTTGCTCGCGAGCCTTGACTTGCATCGACTTGATTACAACGCGGAGCCATCGCGGGTAGCCAGAGGCGGCGGACCGATCAGCATGGGCGGCGTGTCATTCTGCAGTCGATCGCCGCCGAGCGGCATAGCGGCGCCGTCGCGGGTAACCAAAGGCGGCGGGACGGCGGGAGAGGGCGGTGGTGCGGGCGGTGATGCTGATGATGTGGCCATTGGCCGCCGCCGCGTCCTCTTTGCGAGCGCTCTCGACTTCCGTCCCTTTTTACGAAGTGTTGGTGTCTCCGTCTTTCACCGGGTCAGACCACTTGCTGTCGCCCGTCTACTTGGGTTTGTCTGGCTCGTTCGCCACCGTGAGCCCAGCTACACCGTCTGGTCTTGCGCAAGCACATACGTGTTGGATCCTTTTCACACACAATAAAATGTGTGTGGCGCCGCGCGTTGGATGCTCTGACCTCTGTGGGGCGGCGTTGTTTTGGGGCGTGTTTTGAGAAACTTTAACAAAGTAACAAATACCCACAAAAGGAGTCGAGACGGCGGGACGCGACGCCGCGTGCGCCGGCCTGAACTGCGCTCTATCTTCCGGCGCGACCGCGGCGAACGGAGAACCCGCCGCCGCTGACGGTCGACGCCTTCATGTGCTGTGCGCAGGGGCCGGTTGCACTCGGTGTCGCGCGAGACGCTAACCTTTGAGTAGGGCCTCCTCTACCCCGCGACGGCGACCGGCTCGTACCGCTGCTCGCCCAGCGCGAGCGGCTCCGCGAGCACCTCGAGTGGCACGCCGAGCGCCTACGGGGAAGGCGCAGGGAAGGTTCGCGGACGGGTCGTTGACACAGCACGCCGGCCGGCACCCGCGCCTCTGCAAAGACCGAGTCGGGGGCGCCCTCCTCCGACGCCTCCTCCAGCTGCCGGAAGGCCTGCACTAGGTACTCGCTGCTCAGCGCGCCCGACGGCAGCACCGCCTTTGCGCCGAGCACGAGGGTCGGGATTCCGCTCACGCCCAACCTGCGCAGCATCTGCTGCGCTTCATTGATCTCGGCGACGCCCTCCTCGCTCGCAAGGAAGGCCTCCGCCGCCGCTGGATCCACGCCCGCCGTCTCCTGCGCCACCTGCACGAGCATCCTCCGGTCGTTCAGCTTCTGGCCGAGCTCAAAGTGCCGGTGGTTGAGCGCGCTGTACAGGGCCTCCGCCGCCGTGACGCCCTTGCGCTTGGTCACCCACTGCACGAGGCGGTGCGACGCGAGCGTGCTGGAGGCGACGCGGTCGAGGTCGAAATGCTCGATGCCGACCTCGCGGCCGCGCTCCTTGAGGCCGTGACGCCGCTTTTGCGCCGCAAAGCCCGCCGCGCCGCTCCACTTCCGCAGCAGCCGCTCTCGGTTCGTCTCCTGAAAGTCCTCGCTCGTGTCGTAGTCTGGCTCGAGGAAGAAGGGAACGCGGAGCACGCTGAACTGCACCGGCTTGCCCGACCGCATCGGCCGCTCGCGCACCTCCTGCATCGCATTCTGCAGGTGGCGCTTGCCGATGTACCCGTTGGGTCACATCGTGTCGGAAATTAGCTCGACGGTGATCCTCGGCAGTGCGCTGCTGCTGGCGCTGGCGGCTCCACGGGCACGGGCGCAACCCAGACCCGTCGCCGCCGCCCGCAGCCTCGCCTTCTCCGCCACCCTCAGCCTCGCCGCCGCGAGCATGGGGCCGAGATTTCTTTTTCGGTGGTGTCTCTAAGGCTTTTCCCTTTTCGTTGTATATGCTCTGGCTGACAGGGTTTGCGATGAGGAGCGACCCGATCACCACTAACCGCGGAAGCGCTTTCAAGAACTCTGCGACTGTTTCGAAGGTAGTGCGCCAGAAAGAAAGAAAGAAAAGAGCCAGAAATGGGTGCGCTTCTCAGCTCCCCGGCCCTGGATGTGCGGTTGCCGATTGCACTCCAAGTGCTCCAAGAAAGGAGGGATAGGGGAGGAGGACAGGGTCCACACCTGCACGAGCAGGATTTTGGAAGGACGATCCGGGGGACAGGTGGGCTCTCCTGCTCCTGACAAGGGACACGACAGGCTCGCAGCGCGGTGCACGGTGGAATCCCAACTCCACTTGGCGGTCTCATCTCAGTCTGGCGACCTTCCTCCGGCTTCTCACCGGCAGTCTCTCACTACCGCGGGCACACTGACACAGGGGTGGCAGGGGCGGCGGCATGAGTCTCCCACATACTATGCGGGCCTCACTTGAGGTGCGGCCTGCGCGTGTCCTCGGCCTCCTCGCCCTGTAGCCTGTCGGGGAAAATTTGAGGGGGGAGGGGAAGGGGCTGTGTGTCTGTGCATGCATGTGTGTGTGCGTGTGTGCGTGTGTGCGTGTGCGTGTGCGTGTGCGAGCCGCCGCCCTGAACGCCACGAGCGCGCCGCGAGCGCCGTAGCGCCGGCGAGCGCCGTCGGCAGCGCGCGACCGCCACCCAAAAGTGGAGGTACATCAGGAGCCGCAGCCGGCCTGCTCTATCCACCCCGCAGCCGCGGTGGCGCGACCGGACCGCGGTTCGCGCCAGCGAAAAGAAAACTTCAAAATTCTTTGCGACCGGCTTTTAGAAAATTGTTTTCGAGGCTCGAATCCAGAATTCTTTTCGAACTGGGCGCCGCTAGGGCACCTTGCGCCGGCGCCCGGTCGAGCATGCCGCGATCGAAGCTGGCCACGCTCGGCAAAGCACAGGCGGCACTGAGCCGTCGCGGACGCGAGACCTTCTCCTTCCGCTTCGACGTCGAGATTGGTAACGTCGCAGGCCTCGAGGCGCTCGAGGGCTCCGCAGTCGCAGTGCAGGCCAGCGGCGCCAGCCTGCACGCGCGCTCTCGCGTGCACCCAGGGCGGCCACCGCCCCGCGGCAGAGCTGATCCGTTCCGGTCCGACCCTCGCAGATAGCGCGCGCCACCAAAGTGGTGACCACCCGCGCGCTTCCCGTCGGCGGCGGCGGCGTGGTCGCCTTTGGGCAGAGCCTCTCGACGGTGGCGACGCTCTATGCGTCCAAGAAGCTGTCTCGCTCCTTCTCGGAGAAGAACTTTCGCCTCTCGCTCGTCGTCGCCGCGGGCGGAGCCAAAAAGAAGGAGCTCGCCCACGCCGACGTCAACCTCGCCGGCCTCGCGACGCGGGGCGGCCCGCCGGCAAGAACAGAGCAGCTTGTGCGGCTCGGGTCCAAGGCGGTGCCCGCGGCGACGTGTGAGATGGTGGTGGTGGCGACCCAGCTGGCGCAGCTCGACGACGACGAGATCTCGATCACCTCGGCGATGCCCGGCTGCTCCTCCGCCGCCTCGAGCGCCTCGAGCCGGACGTGGGGCAGAGGCGCCGACTCAGAGCAGGCGCACCCCTCTAGCAGCGGTGGCGACTGCAGTAGTGGCACGCGCCGTCCTCGGTCGCTGCGCCTCTCCCGCTCGCCCTCTCGCTCGCCCTCCCGCTCCGCTCACGCCGCCCGCGCCTCTCGCCCCTCCCGCAGGACCTGCGCGGCTTCGAGGCGCCTCGCCGTCACTCCTCCCTCTCCTCTCTCTTCCGGGATCTCGCACCAGCCTCCTCAGCAGGCTTGTCGGACCCTTGGTGTAGGAGCTCGCCCTCGCACCGCGCGGCATCGGTGCGGCTGCAGACGACGAGTCGGCCGGCGACGAGAGCGAGCGGCTCGGCCAGATGCGCTCGATGCGCTCGGCGATGGTGTCTCGCCAGCTGAAGCGCGCGGGCGGGAGCGAGGCCGAGGTGCGAGAGGGGAGGCTGGCACAGCTTCGGGCAGCGAAGGCGGAGCGGGAGCGGCGGCGTGCGCTCGGGCTCGACCCGTTCGTCGGTGGGGAGGAGGAGCCGGCGGCCGGCGGGGGCGCTGCCAAGGCTCCGCCGCCGCCGCCGTCGCGCGTCGCAAACCCGTTTGGGGAGGAGGAGGATGGAGGAGGAGGAGGAGGAGGAGTACGAGCGGCCGTTTGGGCTCTCGAGCCGGCTGTCGGAGGAGGAGACGCACGAGGGCGGCTGGATCGACACGCCGCCAAAGCCGAGCGGTGGCGGGCCGGCGGCCACGCGAAGCCCGTTTGACGCGAAGCCAGAGGAGGAGGAGGAGGAGGAGGAGGAGGAGGCGCCTGCGCCGTCGGCCGAAGTGTCGCAGGCGCCGTTCCAGCGTGCCGTGGCGGCGGAGACAGACGGCGCCGCGCGACACTTCCAGGCGGAGGAGGGGGAGGGCTGCAGCCCGGAGGTGCGTCCCTTTCGGAGAGACGGCTCCGCCCCTCGATCAGATGCACGCACCTCGTCCGGCTGGACCGGCGCCGGTGGTGGCACCGGTGAGGCGTCCCCGCCTCTCGCTCCCCGCAGGTTGCCACCTCGGGGTACAGCTCGTCCTCGTCCGCCCCGTGCGACGCCTCGTGGTCTCGCGACACGGTCGGCTCGCTGCGTGCCCGACTCGACCTCGCGCTGCTGCGGCAGCAGGCGCCCTGCCCTGCCTCGAGCACGTCGCTGCCTCGAGCGAGACTCGAGCAACCTCGCTCCCGCGCACTCCTCGCTCCCACACCCCTCTCACCCACCCTCTCTCCCACCCGCCCCTCCTCCCAGTCACTCTGTCCCCCACCCCCGCTCCCTCGCCCCTCCCCTCCCACCCCTCGCCCCTCCCCTCACCCCTCCCCTCGCCCCTCCCCTCGCCTGTCAGACGGCCGAGGACGAGCTGCACACGGCAAGGAGCGGCCAGGCCGAGGCAGAGGCGCAGCTCGTCCGGCTGTGAAGAGCGTCTCTTCACATCTCCAGCTGTGAACAGGCCGAGGCAGAGGCGCAGCTCGTCCGGCAGTGAACAGCGTCTCTTCACACCTCCAGCTGTGAACAGGCCGAGGCAGAGGCGCAGCTCGTCCAGCTGCGCGACGAGGCGAAGCAGACTGCGGACGGCTACACGGCGGCGGAGGCGGCGGCGGAGGAGGCGCGCGCGCGAGCGAGCGAGCTCGAGTTGCTGCTCGGCGAGGGCGGCGCCCCCGAGGCGATGGAGCTGGCTGCGCTGCGCGCGTCGCTGCGCGAGGCGCAGGCCGAGGTTGCGAGGCTGTCCAGGGAGAGGGAGCAGCTGGGCGCCGAAAAGGCGGCGGCGGAGGCGGCGGCGGCGGCGGCGGCCGCGGAAGCAGCAGAGGAGGTCGCCGCGCTCCGAGTGTTTGGGGAGGAGCAGCAGGAGCTCGCACGGCGGGCGGCGGCGGAGAACGGCGTCGCCGCCTCTCTCGGCCGCGCCAAGGGCGAGAAGACGCCGCGCGAGCGGATGGCTGAGGCGGAGGCGGACGCCACCGCCGCCTCGCTCCGGGCCGACAAGGCTGAGGCGGCGGCCGCAGCAGCAGTCGCGGCGGCTGCAGCAGCGGCCGCGGCGCAGGCGGTGGCCGAGGCGGCCGCGGCCGAGTCGAGCTCGCGCGCGGACGCCGCCGAGCGGAGGCAAGCCGATGTGGAGGCGGAGTCGGCCGCCGCCGCCGCCACCGCGGCGGCGGCGGGGACGGCGGCAGGGACGGCGGCGGCGGCGGCGGCGGCGGCGGCGGCGGCGGCCGAGTCGCGAGCCTCTGCGGCCGAGAAGGAGAAGGAGGAGGCGGAGAGGCGGCTGAGCGCTCTGGCGGAGGCGGTGCAGCGCGCTGTTCGAGGTGGGGAGAGCGAGTCGGACGGCGGGGAGGGCGGCGGCGGGGAGGGAGCAGTCGAGCTGCGGGACGGCGAGCTGACTGAGCTTGTCAGCCGGCTGGAGGCGCTGTCGGCTGCGGCGGTCGTGGGCGCCGCCGACGTCCGCCACTGGCAGGCGGAGGCGGAGCGTGCGCAGGCGGAGGCGGAGCGTGCGCAGGCGGAGGCGGAGCGTGCGCAGGCGGAGGCGGAGGAGCAACGGGAGCGAGCCGCGACGGCCGAGGCGGCAGCTGACTCCGCAGCGGCCGGGGCCGCGGCCGGGGCGGCGGCTGGGGCGGCGGCCGAGGCGGCGGCCGCCGAGGCGGCTGCGGCGAAGGAGGCGGCCGAGGTGGCTGCAGCGGAAGCGGCGGAGGCGGCGGAGGCGGCCCTGGAGGAGGCGGCCGCAGAGGCGGCGGAGGAGCGGCGAAGGGCGGAGGCGGCGGAGGCGGCGCTGGAGGAGGCGGAGGCTGCGCTGGTGGCGGCGCAGGCGGCGCAGGCGGCGCAGGCGGCGCAGGCGGCGCAGGCGGCGCAGGCGGCGCAGGCGGAGGAAGCAGCACAGGCGAGGCAACCGGCGGCGCAGCCGGCAGAGGCTTCGCGGGAGGAGGCGGCTGCAGAGGCTGCTGCGAGCGGGGAGGAGACGCTTTCCCCTCCGCGCGGGGTCCGTGGTCTCTCCGACCTCGCGGCGCGGCTCGAGCAGGCGGGCGGGCTCGACGACGCGTCCAACTCCGAGGGGGAGGAGGGCGCGTCGGAGGGGGGCGACACGGCGGACGAGGAGGAGTCCGCGGACGGGGAGGAGGGCGGGCGGGGGGGCGGCGCTGCTGGGGCGGGGCGCAGCGGGGCGGACTTCCTCACAAAGGCCACCGACGATTTGTGGGCGGCTGCCGTCATCAGCCGCGCCGCTCGCAACTGGCTGATTGGGTTCCGCCGCCGGCTGGCCGAGGCGCTGGTGATGGCCAAGCTGCGGATTGCGGAGCTCGAGTTCGAGGCGGACGAGGCGCGAGGAAAGTCGCGTCGGCTCGCGGCGCAGCTCGAGGCTGCGAGCAGCGCCGGCGGCGCCGAGGCGCTGCAGCGGACCAACCAGCTCGAGGCGGCGTTGGCCGAGGCGGAGGCGGACAACGCGAAGCTGCGGCGCGATCGGCTGGCGATGCTGACCAACGGAAAGGCGAGGAGCGGCTGAGCCTTGTTTCGCATCGTTCGGGAGGCAGTGGCGTATTTTGTCCAGACGCGCCCGTGCTGTGTGGGCCCCGGGCCGGGGTGTCGCGGGATTCTCTCTTCACTTCTCTCTTCTCACGGCTCGTGACGACGCACCGGGTGCAGCACACCACGCCAAGCCGAGCGACCATGTGCGCGCGCGCTGTGCACACCGCACTCATCATTCTCATCTTGTGTAACACTTCTCGCATGCGAAATTGAATGTTGAAAACGAGGCTCTCGAGAGTGTGTGGTGTGTCGCTGGACACGTTGTTTTTGTCCACACTGGTGTTGCTGTTGGGGGGGGGGTGTAAGGGGTACGGCTTTAGTAGTCTAAGTTCTGAGCCTCGTCCCTCGAGGCTGAGCGGGTCTAAGTGTGCCGCGGCACGCTGGGGTGCTTACGCGGTCTAAGATCAGCGAGAGCCTCTTACACGGGCTAAGTCTGCCGTGGCACGGCCTGGCTCCCACCGAGCACCGTGATCAACGACGGCGCTGCCTCCCTCAAATTTTCTTCGCCTGCGGCGGGCGCCTACTAATCCGAATCGATCCTTCTCATGCTCACAGCAATCGTCGCCTCAGCATCCTCCTCTTCCGATTCTCGTTGCTGCTTCTTGAGCGCAATCTTCGCGACGTCTAGCCAAAAACAAACGAATGTCAGAGAAGCCTGTGCATGCGCTGGTCCTCTTTGAACGATCCGCGCGTGAGGTAGCATAGGGCCTTGTTGGCAGCAGCCAGCTTGTTGAGCTGCTTCGTTGCGATGAGCTGATTGGGATCGCAGAAGTGCATGCCAAGCACCATCGTCCGCACTGCCATTGGCATGCCGCGCCCGGAGTTGGCCTGGTGTCGTTTAAGTTCATGACCCCCAGGGTGCGAGAGGAAACATACATCAGCCTAACGCATAATCCCACATTATAGGACATTAGGGACTGCCATATTCTCTCAACGGAGTGGAGACAACGCCCCGTGCCCGTCGCGACGATCCTCGTAGTCTTGAGCACTTGAGCACTTGATAGGGTCGATTCCGCATGGTACGGGACCCCTCGATCGTCTCGCCCTCCCTCACTGGTGTGTTCATTGGGGGGGTCATAACAAACACGGTACAGGATCGAGGTGCACGCTGCTGAGGGACCCCAGAGGGTACGAGCAGTAGTCTCGCAAGTGTTGACTGTTGTCACGCCGCCCCGCGGCTGTGTCTCCGCCCTGCACGCGCCACGGGACAGGCGGGGCGTCGGGGGCCGCCGGCCGCAAATTTTTTTTCGGGCGGAATTTTCAGCTAAGACCTAAGTGCCTCGCCGTCCTCGCACGCAGGAGTCGCTTAGGCGGCTCCCGTGGTGTACCTGTGTTAGTGCCAGTGCGCGCCAGTCCCGCGCCTAGTGTCGTGCGAGGGGGGAGTTAAAATTCTTTTGGTGTACCTGTCGTTAGTGCTAGTGCGCCAGTCCCGTGCACCAGTCCCGTGGACCCGTGCCCAGTGTCATGCAGAGAGCGTCGTAAAATTCTCGCGCGAAAGCAAGAGTCGAACTAACCCCACCCCGCTCGTGGTATCGTAAAATTCTCGCGGCGCAAGCAAGAGTCGAACTAACCCCACCCCGCTCGTGAGGTCGTAAAATTCTCGCGGCGCAAGCAAGAGTCGAACTGTAGAGCCAGGAAGCAGATGGCGCGCGCACATGACATTCCGCCGCTGAGCCTTTACGAGGCCTTCCGAGCTCGCCGCCAGCGTCGCCGCCGCCGCCGCCGCATCCAGTCTGCACGTAAGGGTTCCGCGGCGCTTGAGGTGTCTCTCGACGAGAACGGCAGGATACGCGTAGGCAGCACCACCGGCGGCGCCTCGCCGCGAGACGTCGCGCCGGACTACTCGACACGAGTCTGGCGGTCCGTGCTTCCCGCCGCTGCGATCCCGCGCCTCGCCGAGGATTGCGCCTCCGCGTACCTCAAAGTCAAGACGACGACGCGTAATCGCGGCATCGAGTACGAGACGAACGCAACCTACTGGATCGGAGCCTCATGCGCGCCGAGGACTGCGCTCGAGGCGGTGGCGCTCGACATCTTCCGGCACCACTCGCGCGGTGTGCGGTTCGACGCCTCCTCGTCTGGCGCCGAGTGGTGGACGCAGGTCGTCGATGAGGAGCTCGACATCCCCTTCCACTGGGACAGAGACTACGAGCTGCAGAAGGAGGAGGGCGTCTGCCTGCATCCGCACGTCGCCTCCGTCACCTACCTCACCGGCCTCGGCGGAGCTCCCACGCTCGTGCTGCCCGTCGCCTCGCCCGTGCTCGCTGCCGATCTGCCGGCAGCCTGTGCAGGGAGGGTCCGATCAGCCTCGGCTTGCCACCCGGCCGCGGGATTCCACCTCTCGTTCGACGGGCGGCTGCTGCACGGCGCCCCGGCGGCGCTCGTCGACACCGCCGCCGCCGCCGCTTCGCCTGCCGCCGCCGCCTCGCCTGCCGGGGGGCCGGTCGGCGGCGGGAAGAGCGGCGGCCGGCTGGAGGGGAAGCGGGTGACGCTCCTGGTCAACGTGTGGCTCAACTGGAAGCCTGGCGGTGCGCTGCTAGACTCGCCTCTCGCAGACCCCCGCGCCCCTCTGCCTCCGCACCTCTCTCGAGGCGCCTCTCTCGCCTCTGAAGCGCCTCCCTCACCCCGCGGCCGCGCCTCGGCCGGCAGGCGCCTAGACACTTCCTAGACACTTCCTAGACACTTCCTAGACACTTCCTGGTGCCTCGGCCGGCAGGCGCCGACCCGCTGCACGAGGAGGTTGCGCGCACTCTCTCCGCGGCGAGCGTGCCGCTGTCGTGGCGGCATCCGTGCGAGCCGAGCGCGCGGCGGCTGGGGAAGAGGGCGAGAGGGGACGGGAGGACGCCGAGCGAGGGGGGCGAGGGCGGTGCGCACGAGTGGACGCTGCGGGGCTACGGGAGGGATGCGGAGAGCGAGGGGGCGGGCATGGCCCTCACCCTCCCGGTCTCGGAGCACTGGACGCGCGGCGAGGCGGGCGGGCTGGTGTCGTTTAGCTGGGGAGGAGGGGTTAAGGCGGTGCTAGCGAGTCGAGTATGACCTTGACATGACTCGATGATCTTGAGTCCTCGAGCTTGAGTCATGAGTGTTGAGACTGTCCCTTCTGTCCTGCAAGGCGAGAAATTTTGCACATGACACATGACCACATGATACGGCTTTAGAACATGTGCATAGCGTGATTTTTGAGTCAGAGTCCGCGCAGAGATCAGAGTTACAGAGACAGAGTTCTCGCCAATGTCCTTGCGGCGAGATTGTTAGGGGAAGGCAGGTGGGGGAAGGCAGGTGAAGCCGGTGTGGGGAGTGCGACGGAGTGGGCGGTGTGGCTAGGGTGTGGCGCGGTCAAGGCCTCGTCCCAAGCGCCGCGCCGGCGCCGCCGCGCGCGGGCCGCGCTTGGCAAGAGCCGGGTCTCGCGCGGGTCTCGTGCGGTCGTGTCGTGGCACGTGGCTCGTGTGCGTGTCGTGGCACGTGGCTCGTGTGCGTCGTGGCACGTGGGAGAGCCGCGGGCCGTGTGTCACCCGCAACAAAGTTTCAAAGAGTCAAGCACGAGAAACATTATATTGATGTGTTGCTGAATCGGCCAAGAAAAATAAGCGGCTCGGCAGGCCCATTCGCGAGTGTCTCCGCGGCTGTATGAGGTTTTGTTCTTTCCACTGTGGTGTGCGACCGCCTGTCCCGAGAGATTCACTTTGTGAAAATCTTTTCCCTTTCCTTCAGCAGTCACAGTTGGACCAGTCGGGGGATGGTTACGACAGCAGCAATGACAGCAGCAACGACAGCAGCAACGACAGCTGGTGACAGCTGGTGACAGCTGGTGACAGCTGGTGACAGCTGGTGACAGCTGGTGACAGGTAGGTGTCACTGTCGCTGTCGTTTGCTGTCATGACAGCTCCCAGCTGTCGTGACAGCGGCTAAATCTCATTTTGTTTGTTAGGTCGTGTGACAGCGGCTAACCGTCATGACGTGAACTTTCCATAGTCTCTCCGGCCTCAAATTCTTTTCCCTGTGTTAGTGCCAGTGCGCGCCAGTCCCGTGCCCCGTGTTGTGCGAGGGAGTTTGGTTGTAAAATTCTTTTCCCTTTGAGCATCAGCCTGGCCGGTAGGGACGTGCGCATGGATGGAGACGCAGTCACGTGCGGCGTCAAGGACAGCGCGCGAGTACATCAGCCTCGCCCTATCATTCTCCGCCTCGGTCGCCCTGATCGCCATCTGCTCTGTCGGGTGCGTCCGATGAGTCGAGCGCCAGCGAGCATGGTAGCTCACACGCCCCGGCTCTCGTCGTAGGTTCTGCCCCGACGTCCCGGCCCTTGTGCCGGTTGCCTTGAGCTTTGGCGCAATGGTTCTGTGCAATGGCGTGCTACGCTTTGTGCTACGGCTCGACCGAGTGACGCAGTCAGCGATGGAGGAGAGCCCCCCCATCAGGTCTCTTGGCTCTCTCGCGACCCAATGCTCACAGCGCAATGCCCCAAAACACAAGTTCCCCTCACAGGCTTGCACGCTGTCTCGGCCTGCTGCTGACTCTCCCTCTCGCCATTGCACTCGCCGCCCTCACGTGGCCGAACATCTGCGTGTCGCTGGCGTGCGACAGTGACGCCATGGGTGACTTTGCCTCCGGCGAAGACCTGGGTGATGGCGACGGCGGCTCCGGATCGGGGTGCGACCGCGGCCTCTTCGTGAGCAGCCTCGTCGCCTCGGTCTTCTACTTTGCCTTGCTGGCGGTCGTGATGGGGGCGACGTTAATGGTGAGGCTCGTCGGTTCATCGAATGGCCAAGCCCTCCCGACTGCCAAGGCTCGTGTTGTTCCGGAGCCAATCTTCGCGCTGCGGATGCCGGAGATGGCAGTGGAGGTCGAGGAGAAGCTTCCCAGCTCGCGCCCAACCCGAGGCAAGGTGGTGGAGGTCGAGACTTACGACGTAAATTCGCGGCGGATCTCGCACCGGGACGCTGTGGTGGAGAGGCCGGGCGGCGGCTCTGGCAGGCTGAGCGCCGCCTCGGGCCGAATGAGCGCCGCAGCGGGCCGCGCCTCGGGCTGGGACGACGAGATTGTTTCCAATTCCACGGAGGACTCGGACGGGGATGAGATGGCCCCGCCCGAGAGACCTGTGGGGATGTCAGCGGCGGCGGCGGCGGCGGCGGGGCAACGGCCCTTGGCCATCTCGCGCCGCGACATGATCCTCTCGAGGGAGGGTCCGCGCACGTCTGTCGCCGCGGCCACGCCGCGGCAACTGATGCAGAGGCGCAGCGAGGCACAGCCCCGCGCCACACCGCCACCGGCGCCTTCTGCAACGTTGCTGCAGGACGATATCGTCTCCAACAGTACGGAGTCGGAGAGCGACGAGCCGGAGAACACATCGCCCCGGTATTCGCACCAAGAGGAGCTCATTCAGAGGGAGAGCGACGATACGGCGCCATCTCCGCGATCGCAATCTCCACGCTTCTCGCACCGCGAGGAGCTCGTGCCGAGACCATCTCCGAGATTACAATCTCCAAGATCGCAATCTCCACGCACCTCGTACCGCGAGGAGCTCATAAAGAGACCACGAGGCACAGCGGCGGCGGCGGCAGCAGCAGCAGCGCCGGCGCCAGCGCCGGCTCCTCCCCCCCCCGGCGTCGTCGATAACACCCCTTTCCACGGCTCGAGCGCGAAGGCAAGGGCCGCCGCTTGGGACGTACATGTCGCCAGGGCCTCCCAGGGCTCGCAGGCGCCACAGGCGAGCAGAGGGTGGTCGCTCCAACGCGAGGAGAGCGTCCTCTCCAACGCGACTGAGTCAGACGACGGGTGAGCGGGAACATACACGCGACGAGAGACACTGTGCAATCTGTCGTATGTATTTGCGCGTGCAGGAGGAGATTTTTAGCAATACCAATTTTTTGTCGCCAATGTTTTTTTTTGTCGCGTGCATCTCTGTGCACAAACGATTTATTTCTTACTTGACAGCTTTAGACGCTTACGAAGGGCGGGGCGGCGCCGTGGTTACGCGGCATCGTGGCATTTCGCGGGTCGGGATGGCGCCTCCCAGACTCACCCAGACTGCGATGGGCACATATCCAACTTCGAGCCCGGCAGGCGGCTTCACGAGATCTCATTTTTTAGCTAGCCTTCGATGTTAGAAAAAAAAACAGGGCCCACAGACATCCCGCACACCCGCCGCTCCCGCGCGCGCCCGCGAGAGCGAAGGATTTTTTTCAGCCCACACACCCGACAATCGGCCGAGCCCGAGTTTGCAGGCTCCTCCCCACGCGAGCCGTTCAAAGTGGAGAGAGCCCGGAGAAGAAACAAATCTCACTCAGCGCGCCCGCACCGCGCAACATTGCCTCCTCTTCTCTTCCACTTCTCCCAAATTGTGCCACTCCATGATCGCCGCTTTTCCCCCTTCTGCGCAGCGTGCGCAGCCTGTCGTGTCTGTGATCCGACCATGCAGCCTCCGCCTTTCGTCGCTGCCTTCTCCTCGCCAAACACGTGCGCTGCTCCGCGCCCGATCGATTGGCCACCTTTCCCCTCCTTGCCGCGTCGCGCTGCTGCCGTCGCCGCGGCTGCCTGCCGTTTGCCCAGCTCCCTCCCAACGTGCCCTGGCGTCGACCGCGCAGGATAAAGGAGCAGCAGCAGGCCTTCCAGGCGCTCAAGAAGATCTCGGGCAACACGCACACCGCCAAGGGCGGCCCCTCCAACATGGCTGTACTCATCGTGTGTGGGTTCATCGGCCCGCTGGTCACTGCTAAGGTGCGGGTCCTCCTTCCCTCGCCTCCCGCCCTGTCCCGTCCCGACGCGCCCCTCGCCTGATCTGGCGGTCGCAAGGGCAAAGAGGGCGCACTGCCGCTAGCCTCCCGAACCGATCCCTCCCCCTCCCATTCCCCCACCCACCCCACTCTTACTCCCATCCACCCTTCCCGCACCCACTTACCGCCTTGCTTCCTCACCCCTCCCCTCGGCACACCCCGCACGACTGCAGGGGATTCTCAACATGTGGTACGGCACCAACAAGTACCCCGCCCCCGAGTAAGACAGCGGCAGCAGCCCCGCGCGCCCTGGCAGTCGCCGGCTGGCTGCATGGAGGCGCCTCCCCAGCCGCTTGCTTCTGCCGGCGCGTGGTCCGGCACGCGGGCGATGCCCCTCGCCCGGAGGTCAGAGGGTGAGCGGGCGTATCTGACGGATTCACACTTGGCCGCGTCTTGTTTTGATCTTGTGAGTGTCGCAGCTGTGCTTGCTTTGTCTGTGTCTGTGGGAAGACGCGGGATCCAGGTTGTGTTTAGATTAGAGAGAGAGAGAGAGAGGGGGTGGGAAAGAAAAGAAAGAAAACAGACAACCCAAAGGAAGGATGGGAGGACGGCACGCCGCCACCACACAGGGATTTTAAGAGAGGGTGGGCGAGGGAAACAGCGCAGTGTTTCTCCTCTGCGCCGCCTCTCCCGAACGCACCTATGCCGCGCTCTCGCTCGCCGCGGCGCCGGTCAGACCACGACCGCCGCCGCGACTACCGCCGCGGTCGCAGCGACAGCCGCGACCGCCGCCGTGACCGCAGCGACAGCCGCGACAGGAAGCGGCGGCGGAGCCGAAGCCAGAGCAGTGGCCGCGACCGGCGGCGGCGGAGCCGTAGCCGTAGCCGGAGCGCGAGCCGCGAGCGCGACGGGGCGGGCGCCCGTGAGGAGCCTCCCAAGCCGGCTGCCGCCGCCGTCGACCCAAAAGAGGCGCGCCGGCGACGGCTAGAGGCACTCAAGGCGTCTGGTGCACTGAGCGCCGCGCCTGCCGCCGCGCCAGCCGCCGCGCCGGCACCGGCCGCCGCGCCAGCGACGGCGAGCCTCTTTGCGTCGGCGGAGGAGCTGCGTAGGCAGGAGGCCGCTTCGGAGGAGCAGAGGGCGGAGGAGCGGAGACAGAGGCTGGCGGCCGGCGGCGGCGGCGCTGCCCTGCGAGCCGCGTCTCTTGACGGGTCGATCTGTGAACAGGCTTCGGCAGATGGCGGTCGAGCTCGAGCAGGAGAAGCTCAAGGAGGTCCTCGGGTCCGCCGCCGGAGAGGCGAGCCGCAACCTCGGCACATCTCGGCTGATCTCGGTCTGGTCGGGGTACTCTCGGCTGATCTCAGTCAGACCTCGGTGTGACCTCGGTCGGATCTCGGACAATCTCCGTGCGCTCGTCAGGCGAGCAAGGTTTTTGCCGGGGGGGCGGCCGCTTCGGCTGCGGCGACGGCGGAGGAGGAGGAGGAGGATCCGCTCGACGCCTTCATGAGGACGCAGGTGGAGGCGAAGGCGAAGGAGGAGGAGGAGGCTGCGGCGCGGCACCAGACGGCGTGGCAGGCGCAGTTCGGGCACAAGGACGTGGAGGTGTCGGACAAGGTGGAGGAGGAGAAGAACATGAACCTGCACTGCTACGTCTGCAAGCAGTGGGGGCACACCAAGCGGGACTGCCCGAACAAGCGCTGCAACTACTGCGGCAAGCTGTAGCCGGGAGGAGCCGGGAGGAGCCGAGCCTGCTTCACACTGCGGCGGCCATGTCCACGGCCCGAGCAGAGCCAGGGCTCGCCTCCCCTCGAGCCTCCTGTGCCCCTCCTCTCCAGGCAAGCCTGGCCACATCAAGGAGGACTGCCCGAAGCTCAACGAGAAGATCGAGAAGCAGTTCGACGAGGACAAGGCTCGCAAGCGCGCAAAGCAGTACGCAAAGAAGAAGGAGAAGAAGGCGGCCGAGTGGGAGGAGAAGCTGCGCCAAAAGTCGGGCGTGGACGGCTTCGCGGTGCTGTACGAGATCCTCGGCCTCCCTCCCCGCAAGCTCGCGACCAAGGAGCAGATCCGGCGGCAGTACCGCCTGATGTCCCTCCGGCGCGCTCCAGCGCCAGGGGCGCGGGCGGTGCGGGGAGTGCGCTACTTGACGGGTGCCTGTGTGTGTGGGCAGGTACCACCCGGACAAGGTCCCCGACGAGGAGGTGGAGGAGGCCAAGGAGAAGTTCATGGCCATCCAGACGGCGCGCGAGCTTGCTCTGAGAGGGGTCGTCCCAGCCCTCCCCCAGCCCTGCCCCCAGCCCTCCCCCGCACCTGCCCCGGACCTCAGGCGTACGAGCTGCTCTGCGAGGGGATGGAGAACGGGGGGTCCGAGATGAAGGGCGCAGTCTTCTCGGGAGGCGAGCTCCGCACCGCTGCCACCCCGCCCGCCACGGGCTACGCCACCCTCCTCACCCCTCCCTCCTCACCCCTCCCTCCTCACACCTCCCTCCTCACACCTCCCTCCTCACACCTCCCTCCTCACACCTCCCTCCTCACCCCTCCCCGCTGTGGACAGGCGACCTGCAGTACGCCGGCCCGCCGGCCGCCGCCGCACCACCGCCACCCGCCGCCGAGGGAGAAGCTTCAACTTCCTCCGCCGCCACCGCCCCGCCCGCCGCCGCGTCCGCTGCCCCGCCCGCCGCCGAGCCGGCCGCAGCGGAGGCCGCAGCGGCGGAAGGCGCAGCGGAGGGCGCAGCGGCGGGGGCGGAGGCGGGCGGCGCAGGTGGTGGCGCGGTGCGTGCGGACGAGCCTCTCTTGCGGCCGGAGGAGCTGGCTCTGCTGCTTTGCGACGCGGCGCTGCAGCGCAAGCTGGCGGAGGTCGCGTCGCAGCCCGAGGCAGTGCTCGCCTTTCGGGAGGACGCCGTCCTGCTCGGCGTCCTCCTCTCCCTCGCCGAGCAGGGCTCTCCGGCCGGAGGAGGAGGAGGGGGCGGGGCGGCAGGGGGCACCCCGCAGCAGGTGGAAGTGGCGGACTGACAGCCGACAAGACACGCGCGGGGGCTGTGCGGGCTCAGATGCGCTTGGCTGGGCGCGTGCTTTGCATGGTCGGTGAACAGCACGTGGATATGCGCGAGCAGTGTCTCTCCGTCTCTCTCTCACCCGCCCCCCGGGCACCCCGCGCCGGATCGCCTCGATAACGCTCGTTGTATTCCCAAATCCCATGCCATGCAGGTCTTGCAGCAAAGTGGCAGCATGGCTGTATTCACGCAAAGAGTAGAGTGAGAGATCTATGTGCATGACATGTAGTCTGAGGTGGAAAAACGAGTACGTACACTCGCGTCTGACGAGGCGAGCGAGAGGTGAGAGAAGACGCGCGCGCGGTGTAACGTCTGAGCCGCGCGCCGCGGCCGTCACGCGACTCGCGCCTGGTGGTGGTGCGCTGTCCAACTGATGTACACCTACCAGGCGTGCAGATTGCGTGTTAGCTCTCTCGTCCAGCGCGCCTCTCTCTCTCAGCGGGGGTGATGCGCGCGCACCTGCCAACAGAGGGTGACGAGCGAGGTGGTGGCAGGCCGGACTGGCGTCGGGACGAGGCGGAAAGCGAGCAGGTTGTACCTGCCCACACACCGTCAAGGGGAGGAGACGCCAGTCACACCTCGGGACGGCGGAGGGCGAGCCGGCCGGCGAATCTCGTGTTGCAGCGGATGCATCTCTCTCGGATGTCTCTGGTGCATCTCGGGTCGCACGGCAGCCAGACGCGCAACTCGTTGAGGAGGACCGCCGGCATCGTGTCTCGCAAGGCAACCAGCACCTCGGGCAGCTGCTCTCCGCCGATCCTCAGCCGACAGCCGATGGAGAAGGAGTTGCCGACCGTGCCGAGCAGCGCGATGTCTGCCGCCGTCTTGGAGCACACCGCACGCGCCGTCGTGCCGGGCCACCGGGCGTCGAGCACAGCGTACACGCGAGGGTACACGAGCCCTGAAAAGAAGGCGCCGAGGGCGGCGGCGCCTGCAGCTCGCCTCACATCCATGCTGCTGAGCTCCAGGGCTGGCTGCGCAGTCGCTTCCGCGGCCGTGGCAGCGCCAGCCGTGCCTGGCCTTCGCCGCTCGATCGTCTGGGCGATGGCGTCGCCGCACGCGCCGAGCGTTCCGCCGATGAACCCGTGCAGAAGCTGCGGCCGCCTGCGAAGTGAGCGGTCAAGCCACCGGCGCATTGGCTGTCTCACACACACCTATGCCCGCGCGGACCACCGGCGCATTGGCTGTCTCACACACACCTACAGGCTGTGCGGTCGGTCCCAGACGGTTTTTTCTTCAGTGAGTTAGTGTTACACCTCCGAGCTTGGAGGACGGGCCCACACGCACACACACGCTGCACACGATTGGCTCGGGAGCCGACACGAGGCACACTCACCGGCCGTAGCACCGGGTCCGGACTGCTGGACACACAGCACATTGGCCTTTATACGTTTTTCTCGCCCAGTACTATCTATATTCTTTTTCCGTATTCTTTCCGTATTCTTGTCCCAAACAGGGTATAATATGCCAAGAATACAGCTCCAAATCGGGCCTATATTCTCAAATATTCTTTATATTCCCGCCCGCTGAGCGCTGAAAATCGCTGAAAATCGCTTCGAAAAAGAATATAGAATCGGAAGAATAACGTATAAAGGCCAAACAGCACACAGCTCACAGGCAGGACAGCTCACGAGGTGGCACTGAAGCTTCCATCCCGGCCGTGGTTCGAATCCACATGAGCCGATGGGTGAAAGGGAAGACCCGCCCGAGGTCTGATGCTCACCCATTGAGGAAGTGAGGAACTGCTCGGCCCACCCTGATCCTGCTGAACAAGCAAGCTCCTCTTGTAGCTCGATCGGTCACACCGCCATCGCCGTCGACGTCTCCCTGTGAGATGATGGAGAGGGGGGACGACACCTCTCGATCTACCCTCAGGGGTCCCTCAGCGGCGTGCACCTCGATGCTGTACCGTGTTTGTTAAGACCCCCCCCCAATGAGCACACCAGCGAGGGAGGGCGGGACGGTCGAGGGGTCCCGTACCATGCGGAATCGACCCTATCCAGTGCTCAAGTGCTCAAACGAGGTGGCACTATGTAGTGGGGTTCTCAGGGACTGACACCGGAGAAGAAGGTGGAGCGCAGGGACGGGGACACAGAACTCACGAACTGATATCCCACCCCGCGCCAGGGGCGGTGGCGCGCGCGAGCGCCGGGGTACTTTGGACCCGCAGTCTGGCAGGCGCCAGCGCAGGCCACAGACCCGCCGGCAGAGCCTTGAGCCGCATCCGCGATCCGCGCCGGCTCTCAGACGGTGCTGACCGCGCCCTCGGAGTGGACCATCGAGTACTCGATGGCTGTCCAGGAGAAGCGGTGCAGCTGCGGCATATTGTCGCAGTGCGGCTCGACAGTGCGGCATATTGTCGCAGTGCGGCTTGCGGCACTCCTGCTGCAGCGCGCGCGCGCGGTGGTGAGGAGAGTGCGAGCCCTTGAGCTGCTGGGTCAGTCCATCGCCGGCGCATGCGCCGGCCTTGAGGTGTCCCGACAGCAGCTGGCCCAGGGGCTGTGGCCCTACGCAAAGCACGCAGGAAATTGCCGAGCGTGCCGGGGTCCAGCCGGCCCCGCTCGGGGAGTTGAAGGCGGCCGCCTGTGGTGACAAGGGCTCTCCGGAGAGGCCTCAACGCACCACGCGAGTGGCGGCCGCCACTCCGACGCGGCGCCGGTGGCGCTGCGAGAGTGCGCACCACCACCAAATGCCCGCCCAAGGCACGGAGTTTCTTTCTTCTCAGAATTCTTTTATAGTGGAGCTCCGGGAGATGTTTGGGGGGGCGGCGGCGGCTGGCCGCACGCTAACCACTTGTATCCACGCGTGCTTCTCTCCGCGCGCAAGCGCATGCCGCCGCCGCCGCCGCTCACGCCGCCGATCGCCCCCGCCAGCCGCCCAGCCCTCCCCCACGCCACCCGCCTTCCGCCGCCACCCCCCGCCCCCGCCGTTTTGCCTTCGCCACCCGCTCGCCGCCACCCTCCCCCTCGCCATCCGCCTCCCGCCGACAT